TTTATCCTTTTATTTACTGATGGGCACATAGGTTGTTTCTATATCTTGACTCTTGTAAATAATGCTGCAATGAACATAGGGGGTGCATTTATCTTTTTGAATTAGTGTTTTCATATTCTTTGGATAAATATCAAGAAGTGGGATTGCTGGATCCTATGGTAGTTCTATTCTTAATTTTTTGAGAAATCTCTATACTGTCTTCCATAGTGGCTATACCAATTTACACTTTCAGCAACAGTGTGTGATCCTTTTTCTCCACATCCTCACCAACACTTGTTATTTCTTGACTTTTTTGATAAAAATCCATCTAGCAAGAGTGAGGTGATGTGTCACTGTGGTTTTGATGTTCATTCCCCTCATAATTAGTGATGTTGAACATCTTTTCATTTGCCTGTTGGACATCTATATGTCTTCTTTGGAAAAAATGTCTTTTCAGCTCCTCTGCCCATTTTTCAATCAGGTCATTTTTGTTTTTATTGTTGCATTGTATGAGTTCTTCATATATTTTGGATATTAACCCCTTTTGGATGTATAATTTACAAATATCTTCTCCAGTTTGGTAGGTTGTCTTTTCATTTTGTTGATGGTTTCCTTTGCTGTGTAGAAGAGTTTTAGTTTGATGTAGTCCTATGTATTTTTGATTTTGTTTCCCTTGTTTGAGTGATGCCCTCTGAGAGTGTTGATGGTGTTCTTCCAGCCACTCCCAGCCCCCAGTTGTGAGCACACTTCAGTATTCTGGATAGGATGATAAAGAAGTGGTTCCCTCTTGTGACAGCTGGGGAAACTGAGAACCCACTCACATGCTCTGTTTCCACCATGGGAGAAATCCCAGGTCAAGACGATCTCTTTTGGCATTGAGTCAAATTGAGGGAGGGAAGATGTGGGTAAAGTTTCTATTACCCAATTATATAGATTCAATCGTAGATTTTTTTTGTTTGTTTCAGTGCTATGCTGGAACTTCTTTGCTGTACTCCCAGACTTCCACAAAGGCACTCTTCTCCATGGGTGATTGTCTAAATCAGTGTTCTTTGGGGGAAAGATGGTAGAAAACTCATTCTGCCATGTCGATGATGTCATTCCCTATTTTTATTTTTTATTGTGGTAAAATACACATTATACTTAACTGTCTTAGCCATTTTGAGATGTAAAGTTCAGTAGTGTTAAGTACATTCACCTTGTTGTGTAACCAATCTCTAGAACTCTGATGATTATTTTAAAACAGATTCCTTTAGAACTTCCTCCTTGAGTTTACTCAGTACTAATTTGTATGTCATCATCTGTTGTGCTCCATTTATTTCTTATTAACATGCAAGAATCTCCTCAATGCTAATCTAAAGTCTACAGAAGTGTACTATAAGGCTCAAATTTAAAAGTTTTGAGTATCCTCAGTTCCTAACAGAGTGTCTCACAGTGTATTTTGGCTTCTTTGTCCGTCCTTATAAATTTTAGAAGCAGCTTGCCTATCTATAAAAAATCTTAGGATTTTCATTAGTATTTGCCATCTGGGCCTGAATGGTTTCTTTTCAGAACATAACATTTTAAACTATAAATGCAATTTTGTTAATGGTTATAGGACTCCTTACATTATCTGTCTGAGCTAGAATGAGTTTAGGTAGTTTTGGTAGTTTGTGATACTTGAGAATTTGGTCCATTTCACTGAAGTTGTTAAATTTATGTGTGTAGAGTTGTTTATCATATTCTTTTATTATCCTTTTAATGTTTACAGGGCCTGTGGTGATATCGCCTCTTTCATTCCTTTATTGCTAATTTGTGGGTCCCCCCCTTTTCTCTTTGTCTGTCTTGCTATAGGTTTATAAATTTTATCGATCTTTTAAAAAACCCAGATTTTGTTTTTATTGATTTCTCTATTCAAGTTCACTGATTTTTTTTCTCTCTTATCTCTATTCTGCTAGGGAGTCCATCCAGTGAATTTTTAATTTTGATTATTATTTTTAATTCTAAAAGTTCCATTGGGTTCTTCCATGTTATATATTATATTTCTTAGCTGATCCTTTCCATTTTAACATTTGTTTCAAGGGTGTTCACACTTACCATTTGAACAGTTTTATAATAGCTCTTCAAAGTCTTTGTCAGATCATCCCAGCATCTGTATCATCTTGTCGTTGGCATCTGTTGA